ACGCACAGATAAAGCGAAAGGGACAGACGTAGAGAGAGTGAAAGAGGGGGAGAAAGTAGCGCCAGCAAAAAGGACGACGCTTTGGTCGGTCCCTCGCTTCGTTTGCTTTCACCAGGAGAAAGGGGGAGCAGGAGGGAAAAGAGGGGAAGGAGGGAAGAGAAGGACGAGGAGGAGCGCTGGGGCGAACAATTTCCCGCACTCAAAAAATAACAATGGCGCGTTGAAAATATCCGCTTCCGTTCAGAAAGCTACCAAAAGGAAAATACCCGAGCAGAAAGAGACAGCAACCGAAAAAAAAGAGATGGAGCGATGCAGATAGAGTCGTGGCAGCTGGGAATTTTCGGTGGGCGATTTCGGGGCGGAGCGGAGGGTGGTGGGTTTTTCAATGGTGGGCACGTCACACTCCAAGAATTTAATTCAATTTGAGCACAATGAAATCATATTTTGCAACAAAATGTGGCAAAAGTGGAATGGGCGCTGTCAAAATCACAGAGCGCAACGCTTTTCATTTCGCTTTCCACATTTTCTACAAGTCCGAGTGACCGACCAGCTCAAGGATGAGTTTTCGTCCCGAATATGTTGGCATTAATATTTATTTATCCGTCAGCTGAAGTGGCGCCCTTTTATTATTCATACAGTGTCCTTGGGGGAAGGGAAAAAGAAGAGGAAGCAGCTCTTGTTTAAATAGCGCATAAAATAATAATGGCTTCATTAGCATTCCCATTCGAATTCTATTTATTTGCCCACTTTTCAACGCACATAATTACATAATTTGCTCGGTGCGGGCGGATGTTTATACATGTGTATGGCTAAATGTGTGTATGTATGTATGTATGGCTCAATCTATGTGCAACACTTTTGGCCAGAAACAAGCACAAACAAACGCCTCTTGGGGTATTATTTTCATTTTGACAAGCAACACACAGTGGCTGGCAAAAAGGATAAGCCTTTAGCAGATTTCATAATTTAAATTCAAATAAAATTAGTTGAATATTTTATAATAATTTCGTATTTCTGTAAAATATTTTATTAAGTATATATTAACTTCTATAAATCAATAAATCGATTTATTGCAAATTCAAAAACATTTTAATAAAATTTATTATAGCATACATTTTTAGGCCATTTTAAATGATAGCAAAAATATTTAATTTCCGGTCAAACTAAACTGACCTCCAAAAACTACAAAGACAAACATCATATACAAATTGCCTAAGAAAATATAATATGTATTGGCAATTGCATTCCTAAAGGTACATTTGTGTCGCCTTATTTTGCCCGGAACTGTACGGGCAGGATTTGTGAGGCTTTCTGAGGTCCTTTGGTCCTTTGGCCAGGCACTGAGCCGTAAACTGAGGGCATCCAGTGGCAACGGACCATTCCGGAGTGAAATATTGCCAGCATTGACAAATGTTGTTTGCCTGAGCACCCTTGGGCCCAGGACGTGCGTGTCCTTTCCACACACACACACTCCCCTCTCCCTCTCTTCCCCTTCCCTTCCCCTCCCTCTTTTGTCGCCCACTTCCTGTGTTTGTGTGTCAGCAATAAAATGAAAAATATTTGAACTCTTGCAAAAAGCGCACAAGGATATCAATTCCCCAAATGCCTTCGATGTTCGTGTGTGTGTGTGTGTGTGTGTATGCGTGCATAGTCAAATCCAACTAGAAATCACAATCACAGCAATAAAATTGAGAGAGCGTGCACGAATGCCAATGGAAAAACAAGAAGTAAAGGAGCAAACACTTTGCCCAAGTATATTTGGTTGCAAAGCACAAACAAGTTTTCCAGCAAAAGGAAAAGCCAGCGGGAAGCGCCGAGTAGGAGTTTACCGGAAAAGGTTGAAAGTATTATGAAACAGGGCTGGATTGGAAATATAATAAACAAAATTGTTTAAAAAAATACTTTTACTTTTTTTGATATAAGCCAAATTGTTTTTTATAAAATTCAGTTTATTTTTTAAAAGTAAAATGTAAAGAGTTAAGTACTGTAATACTCTAGTTTTCAAATTTTGTTTGTTAACATGTAATCCATGTATAACGATAAAAAAATTTTAGGATACATTAATAAAATGCAGTAGAAAGCCAACAAATAAAAAGAGAATAATAGATGAAAATCAGGAATCAAATACAAAACAAAGTTGATGTAAGTAACAAGTAAGAGAAATCCGACATATGTATGGCTCTACATATATTTTACATTTAATTTACAAGCCGAAAGCTAGGCAACGTTTTTTATATTCAGATTCTTAAGGTTGCTAATCTTTTTGTATTGCGAACAAGAATAAATGGTAACGTTTATGATTTCTTAAATGTAAAAATTAGTACGCTTACGATATTTCCCCAGCACTTATCTTGACGCCCCTGAACAGAAACCTGGGTAAAGTGGAATTTATTTGCCTTCGATGAGTGCCAAAGGCAACTTTTAAATTGCTCGATGACGAATTGAGAATGCCCATATCTGCGTTCCGCCTTATTTATGTATGCAGGATATCCCTCGCCCATCCTGGAAATAATAAGCCGATGCCTCAGGAAGGCGAGAATTACCACTGTCAAAGTTACACAAAGGTCAAATGGAACATTATGGCTTTATTTTGCGCCTAATAAATCTCATTATGTCATTATATGCTACTCCCCCAACCGCCTCCAAAAACAACAGCAAAAAAGGCCGCAGGATGGAGTGGCGATGGCGGTGAGGTGTGCGTGCAAGTGTGTTTGCCTGCGTGTGAGCGTGCGTGTGGTGAGAAGGTGAAAGACAATAGGAAGGAGAACCAGAAGACGAACAACTACAACAAACGGCAACTGACTATAGGCGAACGACATGCCAATCAGTAATCAATCCTCAGGACCCCACCAAAAACAATTTGCAGAGGCATAGCAATAACAAGAGCAACAACAACAACGATGTAAGCAGCGGACAAGTGAGAGACCACACGACGGCACTGTAAACAAATTGGAAAGAGATGAACATACATAACTGCGCAATATGGCGTCAGCAGAGAGAGAGAGCGAGAGCGCTAAAGAGCGCAAGAGCGAAAAGCCGCCATTAAAGAAATGCCGCTCAGAGCGCGCTATGCAGCGACTGTGTATGTGCATGGGAATGCCTGTGTGTGCGCTGCTTGGTGTCTTTGTATGCGTATAAAATGCCGCAGGGTTGCCAGGATGGCTCGTAAACCTAGCATTATAGTTCTCTAGAAAGGAGACCCATAAAGTTATGCTCAAGGCAAATGTATTGAAATTAAATTTAAGAAGTACAAACTAATTCTAAGCTAATCAAAATGTTATAGGTACCAAATCATCCCCGCTAAAAAATTGTTTTCTCTCCTTCACACACCCGACAACCCTGCGCGTTGCTAGCCAACTCTCGCCTCTCAACTTATGCGCGTTTGTACGCGTTGCTCCTTCGGTTCGTTCGGACAGCACGGATAAAACGCTGTCGACAAACAAAAACATAAAAAAACACTGAGCGGATCAGGTTCTATATTTAATCAAACAGCAAACAACAATCCATTAAAAACAAAACAAACAAGCATTCAAGCCAGTGTGAAAAGTAAGCAAAGTCGTTCCATAGTGTATTTTTCATCATGTGTATTTAATTTAATTCAACAACAATAAAAAGTGTTGTTCGCCTCTCGCTCTCTGGCGTATTCGCGTCTATCTGTGTGTGCGTGTGCCTTAGTGTTTCGTCGCGTTTCAAGCAATTAACCCAAAGCAGCGTAGAAATGCCAAAAACGCATTAAAAATTATTACTCGTAGCTGTCTGTCATTCACAACAAAAAAAGGAAAAAGAAGAGTGACAACAACAAGAAGGAAAAGAGCGACAATCATACACAAGTGCTATTTGCCGCTACTCATAAAACAAATTACCCACTTGGGCTTGACTTGTGCGTGCGTCTGTATGTGTGTGTGTTAAAAGAGCAGCGTAATCATCATCACCAAAAAAAATACTACTAAAAAGTAGTAGTAAAAAAAGAAAGGAAAAGGAGAGGAACCAAAATGAGAGTGTGGCACTGGCAATATGTTGCTGGCAATAACAACAAAAACAGCAACAGAAGCTTCATCAGTTGAATAGTACCGGAATAAAATTACTATACAGTCACTGTGTGTATGTGTGTGAATGCTGTCCTCCCTCTCGCTCTTTCTCTTTCGCCCGCTCTCGCTCACTCTCGCTGTGTATGTGCAAAGCTTTTTTTATGTTTCGCACAAACATTGCGGTAAAAGAACGCCGACAAACGACGAACCCGTCGTCGCTTCGTCGCTCTCGCCAATTTCCGCGCGTGTGCAAGGTGAAGTCGCGTCGCGTCAGTCCGTCGGTCGTTTAGCCTCTCTCTCACTCGCCCGCTCTTCGTCTCTCTGTCGCTTTGTCGTGCAACAACTCCCCCGTGTATTTTTTATGCCCCAAGCTCTGTTCACCGCCTCTCTATATCTGTATGTACACATGTATGTGTGCGGTGTAGCAGCTTCTGTTCTGCCAAATACATATGTACATGCGGAGAGAAGGAAACAGAGCTTGGACACGCGCGCTCTCTCTGTCGCTCTTGCCTCCCTCGCCTTACTCAAAGTGCCGTTTTTTCGTGTATTTGTAGAGATATAAAGGAAAAAACAACAACTAACCTCATAAAAAAGTTCATACATTTGTCTTAAAAAAAAGAAATAGAAAAGAAAAGCAATGCAAAAAGTGTCAAAGAAGTGAAAAACAAGCAGAAGTAGAATCCAGCAGAAGCAGAGGAAAGCAGAAGGAAAAGCCAAGTTTGACTCTCTCTCTTTCTCGCTCTTACATAAATGGAAAATAATTCCTGAGATTGCGCTGCTAGGAAAATTTTGCGGATTTACATTTCACCTTCCGTTAGCTCCGGGAGCTGGGAGTTTGGGAGTTTCTTTTGTGGATTATTACGCCCTCTCGCGTGCTCTCTCCTCCCACCCCCTATCAATCGCTCACTGTGGGTGCGAGCAGGCCGGCAAGCAAAGGAATCATCACCTGCCCATCGCCACCCACCGCCCATTGCCGCCCAACCCCCGCGCCCTCTTTTCATCTTGGATGCTGTCTATAAATCGGGAACGCGCATATCCAGAGCAGAAATTGCGACTATTTTGGATTTATAAAAAGGTAAAAAAAAAACTATATCTTTGCATTTAAATGAGTCCAAGTAAATATACAATTAGTTCTATTTATTCCGGTTTTTTTGTTATTTATTCATTCAAATAGTTTTTTAGTTGTTGTAAAAAAAAAACTACATACATATATGAAAATGCATAACTAAAAACCATTACTTAGGGTTTTATTTATGAGTTAGTACTTTGGTTTTTTTGGTTTTAGTCCGCAAACATCTGAAAAGATTAATTATTTTTTTTTTTAATAACAAAAGTTGTGGAATAAGGCAACAAAATATCTATTGTTAAAGGTTACATATCTTTAAAATACTGCCTAGTTTCCCACTCACTCGCACAGTGGAGATACAGATAGAGACGGAACGAGAGATAGAAGGAGAGAGAATAAGAGCGAGCCTAAATTGATTTCCAGTTTGATTAATTACTGCTTGCCACTTACCGCTGCCGCATTTAACACAAGTATTTCATGTACACACACAGACAAACATTTTTTTTTCGAGTTAATGCCAATTAAGGCGTTTCAATCTAAGCCGATTTGTAATTAAATGGAGTTTTTTGTTGTTATTTTGGGCGATTAGAAAATTGACAGGCCTGGTGTGTGTTTTTTATGTTACCTTTTTGAGATTTATTGAAGTGGATTTAATTTGGGTTTTTGTTCGGCACCAATGGAATGGAATTTCGTTTTGCAAGCGTAATGTGGGAAGACAAGCGGAATTCGCGGGTCAGCCAGGGGAGGGGGTAGAGGAGGAGACAAAGGCAAAGGGAAGGGGGCGCAGAGTGGGAAGGCATGGGACCCGGAGTCGGAATGGAAATGCGAATCGGAATCACGCTCGCCTAATGAAGCCTGCGGCGACGCGTCAAGCGAACCGAATATCAAACAGCGAAAACGGAGAACGAGCAGCCGAACGATGAGCGATAAACAAAACAGGAGAGCGGTGCGGGGGTTGTGGAGGGGGATGGTGATGAATGGGGGAAGGCACTGGGCGTGTTTTGCATTTACTCGACTTATGAAAATGAATGTCGCGTGTGTGTGGCGATATTTGGCCAGAATACTTGATAAAGTCAAGTAAGAAACAGTGGATTAAGTAAAATTTTTAAAGTTTGAATTATGAGTTTGTCTAAGAATATAAATGGACTGTGACGTTATTAATACTTTTTTTTTCAACATTTTTTTTACATATCTTTATAAATTAAATTAAAAAAAAAAACCCAACAAATTTCTTTTGAGTTTTAATGAACGTTGCCAGTCTATACTAATATTATAAAGAGGTAAAATTTGTTTGTTTGTTTGTTTGTTTGTTTGTTTGTTTGTTTGTTTGTTTGTTTGCAGGGAATAGGCTCCGGAACTACTGGTCCGATTTAAAAAATTCTTTCGCCGATAGAAAGCTATATTATCGTGGAGTTAAATAGGCTATAATTTATTTTGAAAAAAATTAGGGATCCGTAAGAAAATTGCAATATTGTCGCATATAAAGTGAGTTGCTACCTCATCACACTGACAAACACGCTCCCTTAGCATTTTAACTCAATTTTTGTGTTCACTGTGAAATTGTGAAAAAAAAAGAATTTTTATTCAATTTAAGTTGAACTGTGAAAATTATGTGGATCGTGCATTTGAGGATAAATTCACCACTCTGTCCATAGTCCAAAATGCATAGAGGACGACGTGCAAACATTGGCCGCAGACATCCAAGCCAGCAGCCAGTATATTCACAAAACTTAAGCGAAGAAAGACAAATGAGTACATGGAGATCATTGGCATCATTCAATCGCATGGCATTCCAATATGACCCCACTGCGAACTACAGTGATAGTGAAAATTTAGATATTGGACCAATGGCGACTATATACCGATATTGCAGTGCGTTAAAGTTTAAAAGAGAAACGGCTGGATTGTGCTGCGCAAGTGGAAAAGTCAAACTGGAAAAGTGTTAAATCACCATCTTTCTATACTTCCATATATTTGAAAAATGTTGCAATATTGACTTTTATGTTGTTAAATTGTGTTGACCAGCGAAGCGGACACAGGACCTCTAGTATATAATATATATGTATCACTTTGTTTATCTCTCTGTTCCTAACCCTCAACCTGTCTATGAATAATGTGCCATAAAATATAACGTTTTTTATAGACCATTGATTTGATTACTTTGCTTATCTGCAAATTTAAATTCTCAACTAATTCCGGAAGCAAAATCCCCGTCGCCTTATCTCAAGTTTATTCAAATTAAAGTTTATCTCTCATGTGGAGAGTGTTGTCTATTTCGTTTTCGTATCGTTTACTCGTTTTTCGCTTTAATTAAGTAAACAATGCAGACGCATTTCGAGTAAACATGCCAAAAGTGTTTATTTAAACAACTGTTTAGTCATAAATGCATAGATACATTTACCGATACTTTTACACCGAGCCGCAGATACGCACACGCAGATACAATTAAGCGACTATTAGACAGAGCTCGCTTGGCCGGGCCATAACATTAAAATATTTTACACAAATGGCCGGCCAACGCAGCGACAAAGTAAACCGCAGAAAGTGTCGGACGTGTGGAGGGGGGGCGGGGCTATGGGGCAAGTTGCCGGGGAGCTGGCTTCCAGTGGCGCACACAATCGTGACGCCAACTTAGTTACGGTCATTAGCACCAGCAGCGAGCGAGCCAAACTGAACCGTGCTGAACTGAACCAAGCTTGTGTGTAAAAAGTGCATGCACATAGATATGGAAACGAACCCGGGAACATGCCAGCATACATACATACATACATACATACATATATAATAATTTGTCACACTGTGTGCCGGTAAAAGTTTCCAGCTATCGCCGAGATAGCTAGACAACCCGTCAGATACAGTTGATATTCGGACAAAAGAACTTGAAAGTATCGCATGCCGACTAAGCTGGGAAATTTAGATATGGTTTTTTGGTAGCTGCTTTCATATTTTGTTTTTATTTAGGATTCTCATAATATTTATTTTACTATATTCGTTTTTATAAGATAAGATTTTATCCCTTGTTGATTAACGCCACTTAATGCTACTCAAAAAACATTGTTAATTGAAATGCTTAATAATTCAAAGAGAGTTGTCAATTCCAAAATACCACAGTGCACATAAGCATTGATCCACTGTAACCGCAACTACCGCAGATGGCGGCCAACAATTGCAGCCAACAGCCACGTTAACCGACTTTGGTTTGCGCATTTGCTGAGAGCCCGAGCGTAATTGCTCGTTCCCCGGCTCTTTCCATTGCCTCCTCCTCCTACAGCAAATGTGTCAATTGGCTGACAAAATATTATACGAATATAATTACAGTGTTCATAATTTGTAGCATGTGCCGGCGGTTGTTACTGCTTTAGCTGTGCTGTGCTGTGCTTTGTGTACATTTGTGTTCTTTCGGATTTAGCCAGTAGCAGCAGAAAGGCGAAGTAAAGCAGCAAAGCAATCTGGCATTGCCCCGTGTGCAGACATTTATTTGTCCATTTGTCAGGGGGCCAAACAAATGGCAAAGCCCCCGGACTACTGTTGCCCCACCCAGCGGCACGATTAGACTTAATTGATTTGTTCAATTTTCATAAAACGCCCGACAGTGACAAACGTTTGTTCGTTTGTTAGTCGGTTCGATTCCGCCCTCGCCCGTCTGACTTTCCGGCTGTCTAACTGCCTATCTGTCCGCCCATGCGAATTAGCAACGAGCTCGAAGTTTGCAATTTCAATTCCAATTCCAGCAATGTGAAAATGGATTATATTCCGTTTACTCTGCATTGACAAGCGAGAGCCAAGGGAATACTCAGTACAAATTAAATGGGGATTATTTAATTTCAGCGAATTCAAATGAAATTGATTATACATATTTATTAAAGTAAACCAGAAAAACCTATTCTCAAATCCACGAAAGCAATTATATGATTATCATTTATCGCATTTTTATCTAATATTGATTTTGGCCATTAGTAATAGAAGCCTATATAGCTTAAGAAAATGGATAAATTATAAAAACTTAGCTGGCTGATTGAAAGGGATTTAAAAATAAATTAAAAATATTAGTACAATTTTAGAAATAAAAAAAGAACTATTCCTTTGTGATGGCTTTTTTACGATTAGATAACAAAAACTAGCCCTAAGCCATCAAAATTTTTCATAATACTTACATACAAATTTATTTTGTTTAATTTTATTTTAGAGTCTTTATAAATCACAAAATGTAAAAAAGAAATTAGAAAATACTCACGATAAGATAACTGAAAGACTTCGTACTCGTAACAGAAATATTATGAGTAACCGTGAAAAAATCAGATATATTAACAACCATTATTACCTAGTGCGGAACAAATCGAATAAATTGTGTAAGCTTTCATCTAAACCCATTTGCTGTCATCAGCGACAATAGCGAGAAATGTTTGGCACCACTAAATCAAGGGAAACGAACCATAAATAAGCAATTCGAACTATTAATAAATTGCATTAAATTTGCAAAATACAAAAATTTCAAATAAGCTTAAAACAAGGGCAGCCGACGACGGGGGTCGTTCGGGGGCTAATAACAAATAGCCGGCAATCAACAAGAGCGTCATTAAAAAAGCAAATTTCTGAACACGCTAAACACATGTAGGAAGGCAAGAACAACAATAAAATACGGGGAAAAAACAACAACAATAATAGCAACAGCAACAATAACAACAGGGGCACGAAAGCGTTCAACGTTCACTAGATAATGTGGGCCAACTACAACAAGTACAAAAACAACAGACGAACGATGCAGAGGCGAAACCGAGAGATACACAAATATACAAAAACTTAATTCCCATCACGAGAAACGAAGCAAATTGATTGTGATGATGTTTTTCAAATTGACTCTGGGCCGAGGGGCTGGCTGGCTATATAGTGTGTGTATCCGTGAGATACAGTATCTATGAGCCAGGGTGCCGCCTGCCAGCGGGTGTCGGATCGCGCAGTCAGCCATGTAAATGGATGCTTTTGATAATTAATTTATGCTGCCAGCCACA